GTTAATTACGGTCAGGGAACACGCCTGGGTTGCGGGTTTGGTCCCAGGTCACTGTGTGTACAAATGGCAGCCAGTCAATGTTTCTCTTTCTCCCTCCCTTTCCCTCTCTAAAATCAAAAATTAAAACTAAAATCTGAAAAATATATATAAAAACCTTTTTTTTTAAAATTTTATTTATTTATCTTTAGAAGGGAAGGGAAGGAGAGAGGGAGAGAAACATCAATGCCTGGTTGCCTCTTGTGTGTCCCCTGCTGGGAACTGGCCTGCAACTCAGGCATGTGCTGCCCTGACTGGGAATCGAACCACAATACTCTGGTTCGCAGGCCCACGCTCAATCTACTGAGCTACACCAGCCAGGGCTGTAAAACACATTTTAAAAAGGAAAATAAAAAATGAGGAACTCTTAAAACCGCCTGAAATAATTTATAAAGCAAACACTGTGATTTTTAGGAATTACTAGGATAGCAAAAACTGTTCCTTTTGCAAGTGTTCATTAAAAACATTCCACATCGCAGGAAGCCTGCTACACAGACACAGGACACACAAAAAGGATAAGCCACTAACTCCCTGACCTTGAGACTCCAACTAGTTGGAGTAAAAAACTGGTAGGCAACATTTGCAAACTCCATAAAGCGTGAACTGAAAATCGTTTGCTAGGAAGAAAGAATTCTGGGGGGAGAATACAGAGACTATCAGATTTGTCACTTACTTCATGCACTTGTGAATCACTTGAACTTTTCCCTCTACATTGTCATTTTTGTACTTTCTAAAACAGGAGATTCTTCTTTTGAATTAGAGATTTTTTTAACTGTAAAACTCAATGCTCACAAAGATATATTAAAAGACACACATTCATGTAATGTTAGTGAGTATAAACTAGTACTTATTAATTACCAAAAATCTTTCTGAAAAGTTGAATTAAGGACCTTAAAACATTTTCAAACCCTATGACCCAATACGTATACTCCTAGGAATCAATCACAAAAAATAACTTATCATACAACCAAACATTTATGCACAAATGTTAGTACCTTTAATAAGTAAAAAGGGCCCTCACAGGTGTGGCTTGGTGGGTTGAGCACCAGCCTGCAAACTGAAAGGTTACCAGGTCGATTCCCAGGCAGGGCGCATGCCCAAGTTGTGGCCATGCAAGGGACAGATGGATGGTTCTCTTGCACATCAATGTTTCTCTTCTTCTCTTTTTCCCTCCCTTCTCCTCTCTCTAGAAAATAATAAACCTTTTAAAAACTAAAGAAAAGAGAATAGTAAAAAAAAATCTATATCTTATAAGAGTTATCTAAACTAGGAAATTATTATACAATGTAACAGTCTCAAATCGGCACACTTTAAAATAAATTTCTGAAGTAATTCACCCTCAAAACATTCTAGTTCTGAATGCTCTAGATTTGCTCCAAGTTCAAAGTCACAGTAGAGCACAACAATTAGTAACTTTTTGATAACATAGGGAAATGTTTATAATATAATGATGGGCAATATAAGAGAAGATACAGGCAATATAAAAAAATTCCATCTAAGTATACCAACCTGAATGAATATTCAGGATGATCTCAATTATCATAAATAGCATAAAAAAAAAAACTAGAAGAGAACACGCTACACTATAGTGGGCAGTAGAACTTCAGAAATATTTCCTTCTACTTATCTGTTTTTATATTTCCAAAGTTTTCAGTGATTGTGCATGAATAAACAGAAAAGTGAAAACCTTAAAGCAAAAATAAATCCCTGAATTTAACATTCATCAAAAATAATAAATTCATTGAATTATTAAGAGAATAATCAGACCTGCTTGGGGTTAAAAAAATGAATGAGGAATAAGGGAGGAGAAGTACAGAAAAAGAGCAGACACCCAGCACACACTGTGAAGAGCAATCTCTGAAGGGCAAAAACTGGCACTACGTACCAAAATACGAAAATGCACTAATGCTTTGATTCCACCAACGCACCCTGCATGCACATGGAATTAAAGAAATTGTTATTGTTGTTGTTTTTAATTTACAGATCTGGCTTCTAATTGTTCTGTAATAAAAAGCCACATTCCTGTGATTACTGAAGTATGAAAACTCACATTTTAAAATGAGTTAGAGAATTTAAAACTAAAAAGTGCCACATCAAACGGTTTTAAGTAAATTCTTATGTATAAGAAATATAATGACAACATAAACAAATCAGCACAATTTAAAATAAATTTCTAAGGCTATTCATCCTCAAAGAGTTACAGTTCTTTATGTGCTACAACCACTTCAAGTTTTAAAGTGACTAACCTATCACTATTGTTGAAAAGCATTTTTAGTTGTTAAAGAAGTCCATGTCAACAACAACAAAAAGAACTGTATCACCTGCTATATCCATCAGCTTTTCTCAAATAATGTTCCATTAAATGTTAGTGGGTATAAGTACAAAATAATGGGGGGGGCCCTTTATCAAGTACATTTTAAAAATGCAAGAGCCTTTATGTTAATATGCACAGTAATCTCTGAGGCAGTACATCTTCCAAATTTAATCTCAGAAGTGATTCTACATCCTAAATAAACAATTTGGTTACCTCTTAATTCAAAGGCATAAAGAGGGGCTGCCTGAATTCCCAGGATGATGATGAACAGAATGGGGTCACTTATCACTAACAGGGATAAATGAGAGACAGGGAGGTGTGAGCAGGAGAGACACCCAGGGGCAGTGACATGAGTCGGGAATTATGGAGAGAAGAGTTGGACACAAAGTTAGATTTTGACAGCCTCGAAGTATCAATGCCAGGCGAAGCCATTACTGTGATTGCTATGAAACAGAGAGTGTTTTCTGTTTTTCTTAGATGCCTTGAATTCAATAGATGTCTTAAAATTTTTCCATAAACATCCACTGCATCATTTGTTTACACATGTGCCCCCTCCTCCAACTGAAATGTATTCCATGATTCCTAAGCACAAGGATCCTTATGGGCAGAGTATCTGTTATAGTACCTGGTACAAAGCGAATGTCAGTCAATTAACTGATTTGTCACAAATGATTTTTCTTCTAATATTTTTTAAAATCCAATTTTACCTATTTATATTCCAATTATATATTAAAAAATGCTGAAAGACTCTCAAATTAAGTACAGGAATACCCCTATATACATGTACTAGAGGCATATCCAAGTCTGGCTTGGTGTTCAGTGAAACTCTGTTACTAAGATTTGGCTTTTGTAAGATCAGTCAGTGCTGACTTCCGTGTCCCTCCCAGCACCCCTGAGCCTGCACCCAATCAATGAAACGGTCGGTGAATGAGGTATGGTCACATCTAACCCATATACAGTCAGGGCCATGCCGGCCCGTGGGAAGGGGAGCATCCTCTTCTGAAAAATTTTAAAGACTACAAAGCCAAGTCAGAGAGACCAGATTGTATCATAAATCAAATCTTTGTAGATTTTTTTGTGTGTTCTAGCTTTATAAACTGTATTTACTTTTTAGACATTTCATTCATCCATAAGCCTTTTATGAGACATGGCTTTCTGGAAACTCTTCCTATCTTATAAAAACAAAAAATAAACAGCAAACTTAGCCACCTCAAATCTCACGAGGAAAATCTCCGAAATTGTTAATAGTTATGAATAAATCCATGAGACACGCCCAACACACTCCGCTCCTCTACCAGCCTGAGAGTGAGCACCTACTTAGCAGAGCCGTGGTGCAGCCGCGCCCAGGGGCCATGTGGGAGCAGACAGTGCTAAGACTGCTCCTGCACCAAAAGGTCAAACTCACAAAGTGTGACAACAAAATTTTCATAAGATTCTAAATTTTCTCTGTAAAGCCTCCTGGCTATTTCTGTCTGATAGTAATAGTCAGCCTCAGTACCCTGTCTATCTAATCAGCCGCCAATGCTCCTCCAGGGTATTCAGCTGAACGCATCCGTGTGCGCCTCAGAGCAGGATTACGATTATGGAGATGATCCCTCAATCGCTATTCACTTAAAAAAGGATTACATCATACTCTTTTAAGTCCCACATGAATGTAAAATATTATATGCTCTATAATTTAATTGCAAATATATTCCTATTTCTTCATACAAAAGGGTACACCTGAGATTTTTTTAAATCACACTCTTAAAAAAAATGTTAGTTTTCTTTTTCGATAACATAGATCGCCAAAACCAAAAACCACTGGCAAAAACTTTAATCCTATACCAATAATGTAATGAAATAACTTCAGGATTTATGTAATTACTCCTTTTCTGGTTAAAGACCACATTTTCAAACATATCAAATATCTCTGACAATGTCACAAATACAAGCCACCTGGTTTAACAAAATGCCTCACAATTGGCCTGACTTAAGAAGATACAAGTTTAACAGTTAGTAACACTTGATTCATCAGCTCTACTACCTTCTCAAGAGTCTGAACACAGCCACACATGGATTATAGCCTCTGTTTTTTCATGTAGGATTAAGAGCACCTCAATCAAAAATATTCTTTCAAAAATAACTTCATACCGCTTCTCCTGTATAATCCAAATGACAAAGGATGAAAAGGAAGGAAGGAGGAAACAACAGAGAGGGAGGAGAAAGACAAGGAACAATACAAAGCAAAATCCCAGACCATATTTTTTAAAAGAACCATACATATAGGTGTAACAGCCTTAATTCAGTTTCAGATACACTCCTGTGTCTACTCCAAGACTTGCTCTAGTCTAACAGGAATCTGAGGAAACCTGCATTCAACCATAAAGGGAGGTATTTCATTTATTTTCAACAGAAATATTTCAGTTCTCAAAGTATCAGTCAACCACCCACTTTTTAAAAGGTCAAGTACTTGCAATTACTAAACTGTATTTGCATTAGTACCACTATAAGTTATTCCCAAAGTTAAATACATTTCCCAGCTATCTTTGCATCACTGATCTAAATAATTCTCCCCACTGATGCTGTTTATCAGAAAGCTCTCCCATTCAAAATACACCACATTCTCTTAGACAGCCATAGTTTTACTGTAGTTTAAAACTTGAGTCACCTGTATGCATCGTCTTCTTTCAAGTCTCATATCATCCTGATGGGGTGGGGGAAGGGAGGGAAGAGTCCAGCAGCAAAACTATAACACTGTGTGAAGAAAAACAGATTATGATAAGAGATAAGGATGCAAGACAATTATTCCTAATTGAGGAACATCTAATGTAACTATATCCCCAAAACATAAAAATAAAATTAACTCAAAGTCATTACTAACATTTATTTAAACTTACTTGAAAATAATTTTCATTAATGAGAATTGACTAGATATAAAGTATTCGGCTGTCAAGGAGAAAAACATTTGGAAATCTGCCTACTACCAATGAAAACTTCACACATTTCTAGGTATGAAATAAAACAGTCAATATTCCACTATTCTATATAAATTATGGGGGGGGACACTTTGTGATCTTGATCAATTCACAAATCAGTGTGAACGTGACTTCGCTTTTCACAGGCTTACTATCAGATGTAACGAAAGTTACTTCACAGGAAAGACAATGTGTCCGTCACCCATCTCACATGTAAATGAAGGCTGAGACACTGCCCATCACACTCCCCTAAGCCCACAAACCCTCTTTCACACTCTGAATGGCTTCTCTTACTTTATAATTCTTTTACTGTACTTCCTACTTATGGCTTCTACTGATAATTTCAGGACTGACCTGCACATTCCATAATGACTGACAGGAAATCAAAAGCAACCTCACTGTTGTTATCAATTGAGAGCACATGGCAATAGTAGGAGAGACAAAGATAAAGACAAGCACAGGCTAAAACCTAACTTATAAATTGAGTTCAGTCTAAAAATATTATATTTAAATGGATGCTATGGAATTCAGTAAGTATTCCTAATTTTAAAACATTGCTTATATTGGTCAAGTTCCCAGGGCAGCTGCAAGAAGCCTGCCGATACCCAAAGACTCTACTGGTCATGGGCACCGAGCAGAACAGACACAGGAGGTTAACCAATTCCAGACCCCCTCTTTATCTGGACAAAAACCGACTGTTCTCCTCTGCTAGCACTCTCTCAACTCCTAAATTCTACATTGTGGCATCCCAGTCATCCTGCTTAAAAATAATCCTTTCCCCTAAGTGTATTCCTAAATTACCATCTAACACTCCTACTGCCTCCATGTGCTTCATCTCACGTGTGTGAAGAAATCAACTGGGTTGAAGTAACTCACTTTAACATTTGCAATTTTCAACAAGGATGCTAGTTACGCATGTATCCCTAACTGGTAGAATTATAATAATTTTGGAATATAAAGTAAAAAGTACAAAGATAGTTTGAAGAAAAGCATTTTTAGGGAAGTAGGTCATAATTTGGATTGCAGTCTATATTTATAGCCCCAAAATATTTCTGCTTTTCATTTATTTCTTCTACTTTTGAATGCACAGGTTCTATTAAAGCTCTAGTCTGTATTACAAATAGCAACTAAACAAGGAGCTCCGGGACAGGGTTCAATGTATATGTTATTTGTAGATTAGTCATTGCTGGTCTAAACTCATTTCCTACATCCCATTTCCATCCCTGTAGAACCACCTTTCCAGTTCAGATGCCGCTATGGGTGGGTAGCAAGTAAAACCCTAGACATGGGACCAGTCAGTATCCAATTTGAAGAGTGGATGGATAAATGGATGGATAAATATTAAATTTCTGCCTCAAAATAGTTTTATTTGCAAAAATAATATTGAAATAACCAAGATTCAAGATTTTTTATTCCAAAGACATGATTTTCTAACACCTTTCCCCCCATATAAGTATCTTTTTCAATTCTAGAATGAACCATTAGAGAAAGAAAATTGGAGAAAATATAAATTAAATCTCTAGCTATATACTATATATTATTAAATCCTTTACACTCTGAATATCATATTCTTCACATATAAAATATTACAATGCTACCTATACCCAGAGAAATTCAATGGTTTCAACAGAAGAAGATATTACTGATATAAAAGCACTTTATAAGAAAGCAGAATCCTGTAAGACATTAATTTTTTTTTATTAAAAGTTGTTAGAAATTCGATTACTTTACGACTACTTTAAATACCTGAAGGCAGTAAGTAGGGTGGAGCCAGTGGCACAACGGCTACTGTATCTGACTAAGATCATCAAAAGTGTCTGTCCCCGCCCTAGCGGGGTAGCTCTATTGATTGGAACATTGTCTAGGTAAGTTGGTGGTTCGATCTCGGGACAGGGCACATATGAATGCATATATAAGTGGAACAATAAATCAATGTCTCTCTCTTTGTCTCTCTTCCTCCCTCTCTCTCTCAAATCAATAAATATTTTTAAAAAACTGTCTGACTTTAAGTCTGACATCTTTTAGAAGTCATCCATTCATTAATCGGTACTCATTTGAAATATCTTTACAAGTTACAGAATGCACTGCTGACATACACAGCAACTAAACCATCATACATATACTAAGTATAATAAACTTAAGTCTTGACCTTGGATTGCTTTAAATAAACAATTCTAGTGATTACTCCACATACCCTTCAGGGTAGTCACTTTTCATACACACAAAAAACTGTTTAGCTAGCCCTGGTGGCTCAGTTGTTGGAACGTCTCCCATACACCAAGAGTTGTGTGTTCGATGCCCAGTCAGGGGGCATACAGGAGGCAACTGATCCAAGTTTCTCTCTCACATCGATACTTCACTCTCTCACTCTTCTCCTCTCTAAAATCAATAAATATATCCACCTCAGGTGAAGATCTTTAAAAAATTAATGTACAGCAAATCTTCAAGAATGAAGGGGAAGGAGGAGGGTGGAGAGAGAAAAAAGAAAGGGCAGAATATCAAGACACCCAGTTAAAAGTGCTGACATACTGAGATTTATAAAAGAAATACAAATCCACGAAGACCAGGAGTGGCAAAACTGTGACTGAAATGAATACATCAGCATGATACGGCATACAGCTAAGGAGTTGGCGGATTAAATGGAAGGTATGACGTTTCCTCCAGTGTCACAGTGTTACATAACCATACAAAACTAAAAATCCTACCTAGTTTCGAAATAACTAAAGTAGCAGAGAGAAGCATTACAAGCAGCAGGGAAACAAACTGGTATGATACAAGCTTCAGATGTACTGGTAGATATTGTTTTATAGTCTTTCTCAAGCTACAAGGACGCAGTGGTTTTTTATTATCACTAAATTTTAAATGATGCTATATATTTTGTATGTTTGTCTCATAATTTAAATTTTTTTATCCCACGGGAAAAAATAAGATACAATGCACAATGAGATTTAAATAGTTCAGGAGATGCCAATTAAGAAAAATCTACTCCCCCCAAATAAAAGCTACAAAAATAAAATGAAGGAGAGCTTAGTTGACATTTAAAATTTGATTCCATGAATTAAAATTACATTATGACTACTTAACAATTATATTTGGTGACTAGCTTTCCTGATAAACTTCTGCCCTGTTACTCTAACAGATTACGGAACAGAAGAAAATACCTTTTCCCACATAATAATTTTATAAATTTCCTAGAACTGTAATAGGCAAAGAAGTCAAAGGGAAAATAGAGAAATGTCATGATTTCAGTGCCCGACACACAAGGGAAAAGATCTGTAACTCTAATTCCCAATAAGATGGCATACAGAAAAAGTGTTTTCACTAACTGGGTTTTTCAAGTGAAATCCTAACAATCAAGAATGTTTACGACTCCCCCTCCAAGCCCTAAGAAATAGTCATAGCCTTAAAAAAAACTTAAACAGCAAAAAGCACAAGACTTTAAGAATGTGATATGAAATCAAAATTATGGGTGAAACTACAGGGAAAAGACATTTGCTGGACGACAACGCACCAACCACTGAGCTAAGACACATCACAGACACTGCCACATTCACCGGCAGTCTCCGAACAACCCCACACAAGTGGGCAGTGTGACTTCCATGCCATCCATGAGGAAAGCACGGGTCAGACAGATTAACTGGTGTGGCGTGAGGTCACATCTTGAGAGCTGGTTCCACACCAAAGTTCCTATTTTCAAACACCACCAAAATGCCTTTCACCAAAGGTCACTGAAACGGTGACAAAGAAATGTAAAGGTGCAAGAATCTAGTTGTTTCTCACTCTGATTTTAGAGCCTGAACTCACCCTTCTACCTCAACCACCCCAAACATGAAATAAAGCTTCTAAGTAGTAAATTCATTTGTATAAAGAATTTCAATTTAGGAGCACAGAAGCAGAGTAATTTTGATTGCAGCTTATAACAGATTGTTATATATTCCCTTAGCCTCCTCACCAAATTTTTTTTAAGGAGACAAACTGTAAAGAAGGTAAAAAAGAAAAGCACTTAAGTCATTTTTGCACTAAAGCCTTGGACAAGATACAAAAGCATGAAGGATTCTAAACTTGAGTCTTGAACTCTGCAACTCCAAAGGCATGCTGGAGGTGGGAGTAGCTGAGACATGTGATAAAGGGGACAGAAAGGTTTGACTTCTCATGAAATTATATGAAAAAAACTAACAAAACACTGAGTAAGCCCTGGAAGAAGGTTCAACTGAGATCTGAGTGGAGTAAATGAATACTTTCCAAAATTTCTGCCACCTCAAACATCAAGTTCCTTGGCCTCTCTGACACTACATCTAGGCTCAAACAGACAAAATTGGGCACTATTTGGACACAGCAACAATTACAGGAAAAGAGGAGGGAAATAATTTATCCTCATGCGCATGTTATCTGTAATAACATATAATGCATTGACAAACACATTTTTTATAACTGGAGGAGAGAGACAAACTTTCTAGGGTTAAAAAGTACAACGCCCTGTCACCAATTCAAAACACATAAACTACCACTGCTACTCTCCTTTGCTTGCCATCCTTCGTCTTCCTTTAGTTATGAGAAAACGAAGAGCTGTATGAGTTTATCTTGACCTCCAAGTCCTGAATACTAAGTCCCTCAGGTAGGAATCTCAACCACATCATTCTGGGAGGAACCCAACCGCCACTACGAGAGAGTGACTGCTAGACAGACACCAGGAAATGTCCCTACTGGAAACAGACCTAAGTTCCAGAAGGCTCATTTCTAAGACAGTTGGTTGAAAGTCAATACTAAGTACTTTTGTAA